GGCTCTTAGCAGAAAAATTCAATCGACGATCGCGTTCCGGGTCAGGTGCAGGCCATGATTCCAATCCGGCCGATCCAGTTTCAACTCTGAAAATTCAACCCGTGCAGGCCTCTGACCCGCAGAAAAACAGGAGGGCCCGTCGAAACCAGGTTTGCAGCATACTTTTTGGACTTTTGACCCAATAAGTATTGCCTCCATGTCATGAGCTTTCGATTGACACTTCAATGATTAAAATCACTTCGTTCGTCAAGGAGGAGTTTCCCGGAATGACTGACAGCTTAGCCTCTTATATGCATATGGATGGCCCTATTTTGTCTTTCAAGATTCCAAAAATGCTTCAATGCTAACCAACATCAGGCCGAGATCATGTCATTATTTTGCGCTTCTTGAGAGACAAGCACTTGAGTGACAAATATTGAGCTATTGCTCTCACTATTGAGAAGACTTTGAGCACTGAATTCATCTGAACAAATAATTTGCGCGTCTTCACTCGTCTCAACGCGGAAGAGTGTTCTCGCATTTTGGAGGTGACAATACTGATCATGCCCCAGATTCAGAGTACAGTACAGTTAGTACAGGCAGCAGGAGCGAAAAGTATTGCATAAAAGTAATAAACCGATCTTAAAGGAATTTTACACTCTCAGAAGAAATTTATCTCAAACGAAACAGAGTACCGAGAATAAGGACATAGATAAATTACGGTAATACGCGTGTTCGCGATGAGAGAAAACCATACAGCGAGTCAGAATAAGTCAGGATAAACTTGAATAGGGATGGCTAGAACTAATTGGGGGAAGTGACAAGACTGAATTCCGAGTGTACCCACTCTCATCCGTCCGCGACCCGGCACGGAGAGTCGAGTCGGTAGGCACGGAGAGTCGAGTCGATAGGCACGGAGAGTCGATTTCTGTCCTCACTTCGATTTTATTCTCCTTGCGAGGAAGATGAACTCCCTTGACTGCTAAGCAAGAAAGTGAACGTTGACAATGTCTCCAATTAGACATGAGAGACAGCTGGTACATGCAAGGCCAAGGTCTCGACGAAACCGGATCCGAATTCCTATTTCTCGACGGTGTTTCTTTGTGCTTTTTTTTTTCAACAGGTCAGGTAAAGAATTCTCCCCCCCTACCCATCCGAATCCAACAATCCCACACATCATTGGTACATCTCATAGATCCAAATTCTTTCGCTAGAAAGAGCTACTTTCTACTAGAGAGTCAATCTTTTGTTCCCTCAGTGTAAGGGCCGATGCCCTCATCTAACTTTTCACACAATCCAGGCCGTGACCCTGTCATTATAATGGCTGGATTTAAACTTTAAACCCTTTTTCCCTCGAATTGAACGGAGTTTCGAAAGCAGCTTGCCGATATAATGGTGCTTTTGCATGCATGCTGGTTCCTTGGCTTTCATCAACTCCGTTCTCTCGAGTCCTTCGGCAGAGATTCAAATTTCTTTCTGGAGTCTGGAGCATATTTCAGCTTGGTATCTGCGAACTTAACCTCTTAGCCTCCTTAACCACCCAACCATCGAAGTCCAATGGACTTCGCTGAGGTACTTGAGGTTCCACTTCACTCCTTCGATTTCAGTCAGGAGCTCTAAAAGTCTGCCGTGTCGAAGGAGGCTTCTTCCGTGGTACATTCCAATATGGGTACATCGTTTCATATATGAATAGATTTGTGTCAAGCGCTAAAACATATTCCAGCATAACATCATGAAAAAGTAACAACGAGTTCAGCCGAATCTGTGTGGTGTTAGAGTGACCTTAGGATCTGTGATGACGATGGAAGAAGCTTACATCGTACAATGTCCCGATCTAGCACAACCACTCGACTCACATTCCAGTCGTCACTATAGGAAAACAAACTCCCTCACAAAACGTCAATTTGCATCCACCAGGGGTGAACGGCAGGTGAATGACAGGTGGAAAGAAGGTGGACGCTCATGTCCACCCATGGAACAGGAGGTGAACACAAGCACCCACCCCGGGGGAAGGAGGGGGAGAAAGGGGGTGGACGTACACTTCTCCCTCGGGAGAAAGGGGATGGACGTCGATATCTACCTGGGGGACTGAAGGCACTATGGGATGGGGACGACAGGAGGAAGAAGCGGTTATTCAGGTGAACATGAGGAAAGGCAACGAGGTCATATGAAGGAGTCTTGCCGGTTGGCAATAGGTTTGGCGTTGTCAAGTGACGTTTGTCTTTGCTCACTAAGAAGAAAAACATGGGTTTGCAATCTGTGAGGAAGCTCATCCACGTCCTCTGGCAGTTAACTGAGAGCAAATCAACTGCATAATAATCGCGATAGGTTTTGCTATAGCCAGTTTACCTTCTGTCAAAAAGATATCTTACGATAATGTTTCCTTTGAGGCGTTAGCAATCTATGATTTTGTACAGATGAGCGAAATTATATCCCATTAGATTCCCTGAAGGACTAGCTACAGGGTTTTTCACTGGAGTCAGACTTATTTCATTTGATTTCAACACTCATGCATGAGGAACTCATACATGGACGCGTGACCAAGTCAAGTAAAATATTGTCTAATTCAAGTGAAAAACACTGCAAACGTAAGCGGTCATCACAGAGGTTGCCGGATATCTTACTTCAATCGTCAGTGAATTGCTTCGAATCAGTGCTTTTAAATAATCTATTCGCACCGCATCATAAGCTTGCTTCTGCTGTGCTGCTGCAATCATGTGATATTGACGCACCGCTGCATAGTGAAGCATATTGACGCTGCATAGTGAAGCATATTGACGCTGCATAGTGAAGTGGAAACAAAGAACATGCGCCCTCGCAGACAGATGGACCACAGGACACTGAAGTGAGCATGGTGGCGCACGTGCCGGCGGATGATCATGGAAGGTTCTACCCAGAGGACCTCCTGGAGATGAATCGAGAATAATTAGATAGGCTCACCCTAGGCTTAACATTACGTATTTGAAAAGATTTGACTCATGAAACACGAAGTTGGCCGTCCCAGGCTTAACGTTACACGTCCTCGTTCCCATCCTTGGATGTAGTCCATTTTCTGAACTCATATCTTTATAAGGCTGAATCTCTTAAGGTTCACGAAGAACATTTCTGCCCAAGCTTCAATTCTCCCATACATCTCAGTTCTCTTTAGTAATTAGAAAGTGAATTGGGAATCTGTCACTTATGGTGTAGCCACATACCGAATGTGCATCACTCGTGCCAATACAATCTCAATATTTGCTCTAGGGCCAGGAGCAAATGAGTGCTTGTGCTTTTCACATTCTTAATGAATTAATGTTCGAATGATTATGTTAGTCTGACATCAGTTACTATCTGTGTAGTTGTCAGTCGATATTTACATCCAACATGGCCTTGTAGAAAAGTGATTTTATGCTTCATTTACAGGCCCATTTCATTTTTTCAATTTCATTTTAATTTCGGTCTCAGCCAAATTTAGAAATAAAAAAAATTTAGAGTTGCTATTCCAGCCCAATTATTTTTTTCATATTTGTGTACATTATCCTGAATGCTTCCTTGATGGCTTCAGTTTTTTTTTGCATTAAGTGAAAGACCGCATCAGTCTAAGAGCACAAGAATATCCCCACCTCACCTTGAGGACATGCGAACAACTTTTCCCTTTTCAGGAAAGGAGGGGGAGGAGGAAAATCCACCTGGGCAGCCACCAGGTGGATTTGGAATATGGTGGACATGCACCTCTATGGATTTAGCATGTTATGGAAGTTCCCCATGGGTGAGACTGGAACAAGGTAAATTGGAATTGGAACCCCCCCAGGTGGATTTCCTCCTGGTTTCAAATCCAAAGGGGGGGATTACCCCCCCCCCCCCCGCTGGACGTTTTGTAAGACCGGCACGTTGTGACGTATGTCACATAATAATCCCAAGTAGCACATAGCACTGAGCCAACATTGAATGTCGATTCAACATCTGAATGCTGATTCAAAGCTGACTCCACGTTATATGCTACTTGAGGTTGCATTTATAGCTTTGTCAGTTTAATGAGTACGGATCCGATAGGATGTCCACGGGTCCATCCTTTCGCTGTCTTCCCCATTCAGTACCCGCTCCCCTTCTTGCTCATTCAACGAAGCTTCCTCTGTTCACTCTCTTGGGGTAGGTCCCCACCAGAACCCACGGTCAGGGTGGGTCAAGAAAATGTACCCAATTTCAAAAATGTAATTACAGGATAACCATAAAAGATAGGATTAAATAATGAAATGCATTAAGCAGGCAAAAGTCAACAGTTTTTTTTTTTGCTAATTAATTTTTTTTCTGTTGCAGGTTCAAAATGCCTCAAATAAATTTGCAAAAAAAAATCTTTATCGGTGAGGCGCATAGCACATCTCAATAAGTAATAGTGCCACAGCGTGAATTCAGAAAAGAGTTTCCAGGATGTGAGGTGCCAACAGCTAAGACAAGACAACGAATTCTGACCGAATGGGAGGGAAAAAGGTTGAGTTGAGATTTCCTCAGCAATTAAGTTTTTTGTTGTATATTTATTCGAGGCATTTTGAACCTGTATCAGAAAAAAATTTTATTAGAAAAAAAAAATTTAACTTTTACCTACTTAACACATTTCATTATTCAATCCTATCTTTAATGGTTATCCAGTAATGACATTTTGAAATTGGGTAAATTCTTTTCCCACCCTGTATGTTTAGTTGAGCGATGAACTTCTCTGCCCTCTGCTTCTGTATCTCTGCAAACTCTGCCAATCACGAAGTTCGGTGAGAAAAAAATTTTTTTTGTTGATGCAGTTCGCGGCAGAATTTCGGAGACTTTCTGCCTCTTGGAAATATCGATTATAACTTTTAAGAAATGAAATATTGAACGGAGATGCATGAAATACTCTCACGTTTTTTCAAAATCACAAATACATCATCTTTGCAAATGAAAATAAATCCGTTTCGTGGTTAAGCTGAGCGATGCGAATGGAAACCGCCGATGGATGACCGAGGAGATAAAACTGAAGAAGCGGAAAAGGTTGGTTGCACAAAAGAAGACCTTCAGCCATGATGGTGATGATGGCGATGACCACCATATCCTCCTCCGTAGCCTATGAAGAGGAAGAGAAAGAAAAAATGCAATGAAAACCTCAATGTCGAAGAGGCATGGGACATTGGAAATTATTTGCCCTAACTTGAATTTCTGAGTAACTTACGAGTTCTATTTTCAAATATTTGGAATTGCTTTTCCTTTTTTTAAGCATAGATCTGCAACTTAATTTATCCGAGTTCTTCTAATAGATGCCTTCAACCCTTAGTGTTTGAGTATTTGAAAATATTCGTTGATGCCAGTAATTTTTTTTCTGATTCCTGTTGCGTGTCCAAATTCAGACAGAAATAGAATAGCATCATTTTACTTTCGATTTTCAAGCGGCCTTCCTCTTCGATTCCTTGGATTTGGTAAAACCGGAATTGCCTAAGGAAAACTCCTTGGGGACTCACTCACGGGCAGCAGACGCAGCTGGAAGGAAATTTGATATATTCTAGTCTGAATTCCATGCGTCCTTTCCCAAATAATTTCTCCCTTTCTTCCAAATCATTTGACGCCATCATTGGGTTTGGATGCTGGCATAATGAAAAATTACCTTCTATGCGTATGCTGCCTTGCCCTCGTACATGTGCTATTCATTCTTCTCCTGGGAATAATCTCAAGATAGGGACATGAGGGAAATTTTCCTTGGTCCCTATTAATTGACAGAGTGCAATAGGTTATGTATAATCAATATAACGATAAAATACGAAACACAACCCTAAAATTACCTCCATAGCCGCCGCCACCATAGCCTCCATAACCTCCATAACCGCCCCCAGGGTAGCCCCCATATCTGCCCCACTGGGCGGATTCAGCAGCGGTGAGGGTTTCGGACGAGTTCGATGCTCTGTTATAGGCCAAAGCTGTCAGGCACAATAACGGTAGCAATCCAAAAACCTGTATGAACATCGACAACAATTAGTTAACAACAACATGTCAGTATGTACACGAAGCAATAATATTGTGGGAAAGAGAACCTCCACCTATGATTGTCAAAAAGTAACATCACAATTAGCAATGATGTCATGTAAATGTCATGTATTAGTCGGAAGAAACTTAAATTCACTTGAAAGTATATTTCAGGATTCTGCATTGGCGATGCAAGAAGTTAATTTGTTTTGAAAGAGAAAGCAAAGAAAGGATCGGAAAGTATTTGAACGAGATCACGTGAATGTAGAAGTTTCTCGAGTTTGACATCGTATCAATATTAAAGGACAATGAAAGGATAATAAAGGATATGGAAGGATAATAAAAGTATTCGTTCTCAGTGTTTCTTATTTCTGACTGCGATTAATAGTGACTGACAATTGGAGTTTCCCGAGAAATTCAAAGAGCCAATCTAAGGACAAACTCACGAGCTTCATCTTGAAGGTTTCGGTGTAGTTCCCGGCACAAACGATGAAGAAATGAAGCCAATGTTGAACTGTGAAGTGGGAGTCGAAGAATGAATGGATCCGGCCACGTCAGGGCTATTTAAATTGTGGTGTGATGTGGAATACCCCTGACTTGAATTATTAATATAAGTGAGCTCTTACAGGCCTTCCTTCTTACCCTTCAGACGTCCAGTAAGACCATTTTTTCTGGGAACAAGGAGCTTTACCATTGGCTATTGGGGTTTACCAGTTGTAATTTGGATGACTATCTAATGCGATTCGTGCTTTTGTTCCAGTAGACCCTTCCCTTCCTACTCAAATGGCTTTCCGAGACTTGACCTTGAGACCTTGAACCTCAAATGGATTCCCCCACGTATCATGCGCATACGCCTGAACCAAAGTTCGCGATTATTATTATTCTCCTTTCCGGCTTATCTCCCGACACTGCTGATTTTTCTTCGCCGTATTTATTATTATTGAGCAGTTCTTTCTTTTCTCCTTAATATTTTGAGCATTGTTTTCTGCGGACTTTGGCCCAGCTTCTTCATCTGTCCAAATCGCTTAGTGTAACTGGAAGGAAAATGCATGCATTTTCACATTTAAATAAAAAAATTTCTACTCTCCATATAACCAGCGCATTCGTGAGAATTACACGAAACATTTTTCGCATTTCTGCGTGAAACTAAAGGATTTGGGAGCCTCATTTGACCTTGACAGGAATTCTATCACCCTTAACAAGTTAACTCTTAACAATATTGTTTACTACACTCCGAGAAATCGGCAAATCCAAATGATACACTACCGTCAATTTTCGTTTTTAGATTTTTTTTTTCAAAGAGGAAAAGGCATCATCTGGGATTTTCGGTTCGTGTCAGTCTCCGACGGTGCCGGGTCGCCTGAATGGCGTCTGCGAACTGAAAAAGCGTCTATACCCGAGACGAGACGGGAGGTTTGAGTGGCCTTGCATCTTCCAGTCTGCTTGTCATCCTCCGTCTTCCACTTCTTCGTGGGCATAAGCCCTTGGGGCAATGCATTGACTGCTGAGGGATTCACAAGCAAGCGCGTGGGAGAGCGTGGCCTCTCGTCCCATCGTCTTCCCTCGCGTCCGTGCGAGTAGCTTGTGCGTCTGGTAGGGTTTCTAATGTGTAATGGCCACTGAGCTAATAAGGGAAAGATCTGGAGATGGTGCACAATAAATTGGATTTGCGGCATTTTTTACGCCATTGTGGTGCGTATCATGGCGGCTCTTCTCGTTTCACTGCCATGAAATTTTCATAATTCCCCTCACGAGTTTTCTTGCTGTCATGAAGAAGATGGAAGGCAGTTCTGGCACTGGAGGTCTAATAACTCAGGGGAGAGTTTCATAGTCCTGATAACGTTTTGTTGAAATTCCTTTTCTTTCATGGGTGCGGACCTCAAATTACAATCAATCGAATTTCGAGAGAACGATCAAAGAGCTATCATATGCTAAAGGAGACGAAGGCCGACCACGAGGTGCATGGTAGAGGTACTGCCTTGCCATGGCAGGGCATGCTTTCGTATTCGATAGGGCTCGATCCAATGATTCAGCGGTACTTGCTCCGATACCCCGCCAATGCACACCATAAAACCCAGACTACTCTATGAATCACTTCGCACGTAAATCGTTAGCATTCTGCAAAGACCGATTCCCAATCGCCCATTACTGCTAAGAGCCTAAACTGAAGTTGGGAATCCATATGCATTATAGAAAGAAGTCTTAAATCCGCCCAATAGGGCCTACCGGTTCCTCTGAGAACCTATTACTCCTGTTGTGCTGATGATGTTTTCCTGCGTGGAAGTATTAAGAAGAAAGTTAGGTTGAAAAATCTGGAAAATCTCATAGAAGTGAATCGGGAAGAGCCGCCATTATACCAACAAGTATGGCTTCCAATTGCAGCACGCATGCCTATACTATACGTGCCACTTCCAAATCTTTTTCTTAGCTCAGTGGTAATAACATTTCCTCCATTTTTCAGGTCCAGTTCCATATGGTGTTTGTATTTGGTTTTGTGCAAAGGTGGCGCAATACGTATCACCTGTAGACTAAGCATCCAAGTTTTGAAGCCTATTATATTCCCACAATAGGTTCGTCTAACGTAGCTTATCGCCTTGAAATAATAAGCGCTTCCGTGCCTTCTCTCAATCACCTCCCCTATTATGGTATCCACCTTTGCATATCTCGCCTTGAGCGTCTTAACGCAAAAATTAATCGAATCTTCTCCATTGCCTTTCAACAGTCACCCGGAGAAAATAAAATTTCTCTTTCCATGGGGGTGTTAAAAAATAAGATAAATAAATTTTTTCAAAGCAGATTTCTGTACACGCATTCCTTTCCCCACCTAGCCGCCGTAAGTGGGGGATTTTGGAGATGACACTGTCAAGAGAGATATATGGATGGAAACTTATGCCCTTTCTGTTGGCGACATGCATCTCCGTTCTGACGAGCGAAATCCCATATTCTTCAGATTGAATTCCTACCCCCCCCCCCTTCCCCCAGGGGGTCAGCGCAGAATGGGTATGGTATGGAGAACGAGGCCGAAATGCATCACATGCGGGATACATGCACACATAATCAAATTTATGCTTTTTTTGGTCGTGAAAGAATGCATCAATGCATCAAAGAATGCATCAATTTGACGCTCTGAATATTCTGCGTAGGAACACATAATACGAATCGAATTATTGGGGCGAAGACGTTAATTGTGCTGAAAGTGACGAAAAAGTGAATTGATAATTAAGGATATGGATCACAACCTGGAGCTGCATGGTTTTTCACCCTGATCCTGATAAAAACTCGTGATCAAGAGTCGATAGAAGGGGAAATTGTTTGCAGAAAGGGTTCAGGGTTTAACCTTTTGAAGGATAAATCATAAAAAAGGTTAGATGGCTGTGAATCACAATTTAAAAGGGTTAAATGGATGCTTATCTTAACAGCGATAAATTCCTTTTATCCTTTTCGATTGAGAGGGTTGAACATTTCACTAGGAGAGTTTCATCAATCTTGTGCGTGAATAAATGAGTTCATTTCATGTCCAGTTCATTAAATGTCCATGAAAACAGGTTTAAATATTAATTCATTCTGAGGTTACATATGCGGTTACAAGATTCGTTTTTCATCATATATGATTTGCGATTAAGAATAATTAAAGGACTTCGCTAATGCACGAGTAGTCACAATATGCTGCAAGAACTGTTAATTACGAATAGCCAGAATTTCATTAACTCCGATTCTTTGTCGGAATATCCACTTTAACCAGGTCTCAACGTTTCAAACATTTCTCAACGTTGACACAACATGGCTGTGCCGACTGGGTAGGGTCCCTGCGTATGAGACCAATTATCAACTATCTCAGAATTTTTTTTTTCAAAAAGACCATTTTTCCTTTCTTCCCGTCATTTATCTCTAACAGTAGCAGGTATTCTATCAGTGCGCTCCCTCCCATTGACCCTGGCCCTGCGCATCGCCCGGTAGATTTTCCCCTGTCCCCCCCCCCCCCAAACGTTTTGCACGTTGTGGCGTACGTCACATAATAGTCCCAAGTGGCACATAACATTGAGCCATCATTGAGTGTCGATTCAACATCTGAATGTTGATTCAAAGCTGATTCGACGTTTGTACTACTTAAGGTTGCATTCATAGCTTTGTCAGTTTAATGAATTCAATAGGATGTCCTCTGGCTCATCCTCTCCTTGTTCATTCAACGAAGTTTCCTCTGTTCACTCACTTGGGGTAGGCCCCACTGAGACCCTTATATATTTTGTTGAGCAATGAACTCCTCTGCCATCTGCTTTCTGTATCTCTGTAAACTCTGCCAATCATGCCAAGGTTAGGCAGGAAAAAAAATTTTTGTTGATGCGTTTCACATGCACTTTGACGAGAATTTCTGCCTCATGAAAATATATATTTAAAATGAAGGAAATGAAATATTTAACGATGTATGAAATGCTCTCTGAGGTTTATTCAAGATCACAAAGATATCATCTTTGGTAATGACAAAAATAACTCCCTTTTGTGGTTAAGCTGAGCGATGCGAATGGAAACGGCCGATGGATGACTCAGGAGATGAAACTGTAGAAGGGGAAAAGATGGTTGCCCAAAGATTTAGCCATGATGATGATGATGATGGCGATGACCTCCTCCGTATCCTCCGTAGCCTATGATGAGAAAGGGAAAGGAAAAATACAGTGGAAACCTCAATGTCGAAGAGCCAAGGGACATTGAAAATCATTTCGCCATAACAGGAATTTCTCAGTAACTTACGAATACTATTTTCAAATATTTGGAATTGCTTTTACTTCTTTTTTTTTTAAATTATAAATCTGCAACCTAATTGATGCGGGTTAGATGCCTTCAGCCCTTAATGCTCGAGCATTTGAAAATATCGGCTGATGCCTGTACTTTTCTGTCAGATTCGTGTTGCGTATCCTAATTAGACAGAATTAGAATAACATTTCTTGCTTTCGCGTATCCTCCGGCTCCCCTCTCCGATTCCTTGGATTTGGTACAACCGGAATTGCCTAAGGAAGATTCCTTGGGGACTCACTCACGTGCAACAGACGCAGCTGGAAGGAAATTTAACATATTCTAGTCTGAATTCCATGCGTCCTTTCCCTATAATTTCTCCCTTTCTTGAAAATTATATGACGCCATCATTGGGTTTCGATGTTGGCAAAATGAGAAATTGCCTTCTATGCGCATGCTGCCGTGCATATACATGTCCTATTCATTATTCTCCTGGGAGTAATCTCAAGATAGGGACATAATAAAAATATTCCTTGGTTCATCATCGCCCTATTAGTTAACAGAGTGCAATAGGTATGTATAATCAATATGACGATAAAATGCGAAGTACAACCCTAAATTACCTCCATAGCCGCCGCCACCATAGCCTCCATAGCCGCCACCACCATAGCCTCCATAGCCGCCACCGTAACCTCCTCCACCGTATCCTCCATAGCCGCCCCCAGGGTAGCCCCCATATCCAGACCCGCCCCACTGGGCGGACTCAGCAGGGGTGAGATCTTCACTCTCGTCTTTGGCCCCATGGGTCAAAGCCGTCAGGCAGAATAACCCAAGCAATCCCAAAACCTGTATGGAGATTGACAGCAATTCGTTAATAACCACATGTCTTTAAGAACAAGAAACAATAATATTGTGGGAAAGAGATCCTCCACCTGTGATTGTCAAAAGGTAAGATCAAATTTAGCGATCACGTTATGCAAACGTCGAGTGAAAGTCGGTCGAAGAAGCTTAAATACCCTTGAAAGTATATTTCAGGATTTTGCATTAGCAACTCGAGAAGTTAAATTGTCTTGAAAGGGATAGGAAAGAAAGAATAGAAAAATATTTGAACGAGATCATGTGAATGTAGAAGTTTCTCAAGTTTGGCATCGACTCAATAGTAAAGGACGATGAAAGGATAATAAAGGTCTTGATAGGGAACCCAGGGTTTCTTATTTCTGACTGCGATAAATCATTACTGACACGTGGAGTTTCCCGAGAAATTCAAATTAGCCAATCAAAGGACGAACTCACGATCTTCATTTTGAAGGCTTCTGCGTAGTTCCAGACACAAACGATGAGAGCACAGGAAATCAAGCTGATGTTGATTGTCGAAGCGGCTGGAGTAGAATGAATTGGTCCTGCCCACTCGGGGCTATTTATACTGTTGGGTCTGATGCGGAGTATCCCTGGCTTAAATTATTAGTGAGTTCTTACGGGCTTTCTTTCTTACCCTTCAGACGTCCATTTTGAGCCCCTTTTTTCTGGGAACAAGGTGCTTTCCCATTGGCCATTGGGGTTTCCCAGTCGAAATTGGGATGACTATCCATAGTAATTCGTGCAATCGCTCCATGAGACTCTCCCCTAATCCCTCATATAGCTAGCGGGCTTTCCGGGACTTGACCGAGACCTTGAAGCTCGAATGGATTTCCCACGTAGTGCGCATCTTGTGCATACGCAGGTATCAAGGTTCGCGATTATCATTCTCGTCTTCCGCTTCTTTCCCGACTTAGTCATCGCTGATTTTTCTTTCACTTCTTTCATCGTCTTTCATCTTCCTTTTTTCCCCTCAATATTTTGAAGCATTGTTTTCTGTGGACTTTAGCCCAACTCCATTTTCTTCATCTGTCCAAATAGCTAAGTGCAATTAGGAGGAAAATACATGCATTTCAACAGGTAAACAAATATTTTTCTGCTCTCCATATAAGCGGTGTATTCGTGAGAATTACATGAGCAATTTCCCGCATTTCTGCGTGAAACTACAGGGCCTTAGAATTGGTAGCCTTAGTTGTCCTTGACGGATTTCCATCACCCTTAATAAAATATACTCTTAACAATATTGTTGCTACTCTAAGGGAAATCGGTAAAACCAAACTACCGTCAATTTTCGCATTTTGATTTTTTTTTTTCCAGAGGAAAAGGCATCAGCAGAGTTTTCGATCCACGTCCGTCTCTTCCCGACCGTGCCGAGTCGCCTGAAGGGCGTCTGCGAAACCGAAATGCGTCGATAGCCGAGACAAGAGGGATGTTATGAGTGGCCTTGCATCGTGTAGAGACGCATGTCAACCTCTTCCACTTTTAGTGGGCATAAACCCTCGGGGCAATGCATTGGCTGCAGTGGCGGCTCGTCGAGGTAGGCAGATAGGCCGGGCCTAGCCTGGACTAGACAAGAGGGCACCGAGAACTACCGTGAATTTAAGTCCTTTTTACTCCATTTTAACTTTTGCATGACAACGTTTCGGAATGCCTCCAGCCACAATAATATTTGGGCCTCTTCACAATGGTCATTGAACTTGATGAAGTACTCGAAACGAGTAAAGCCATAAGAAAAGGGTGGAAGAATGCTGTCTGCTCAGGTGGGCCCAGGCCTCCCAGGTATCGCAAAAAAGTCGGAGCATGCGCAGTTAGGCCTAGGCCAGCCTCTGCCTCGCCTAACCTGTTCCTAGACACTGGGAGCCTGAAGGAAGAATTGCGGGTAAGGGGCAGTCTTGTGATGAAGAATCGGAATGAGACTTGGGCCGGAGAGAAGAGGCCTGAGTGCTACGTTGCCAAATCTATGCAGCATTGCCATATATTATTCCACGACCTACTCCTTTTCCTCCGATGAAATTAGAACCCTCAAGGTTGGTTTTTCTGGCTTGTTCATTTGCTTTATCGGCGCCACGACCCACGTAGGTCTTTTATTCCTGCAGGTCCCTCTCTTGCAAAACTTTTCACCTTCTCTCCTGCCCCTTTGCTGTGATTAATGCAGTGGAGTTCGTGTAACTGGTGTCACGTTTCCCTAACCAATTATATCTGTGGACATGACTGCTAATATTTTTAAACATTGCATTAATATAGTTATAACTTGCATTATATAATAAATATACGCCTGGATGTAATAGCACAATTTTTTATATCTATCTATATATTAATATTTTAATAGCCTACGTACTCCTGTCTGTCCGCCGAAGGCCTGCACGGGTCAACTCTTCCGAATTCGACCCGATCGGCTCGATTCGAGTCGTAGTCCAACCCGACTACTCGACCCGAAATTCGATCGCCGAATCGAGATTTTAGTGAATCCTACACGCGGGTCTGGTGGGGCCGATCGGGCCGGCCCGCAGCCCCCTTAGGCCTCTAAACTCCGGGTCTCTGGGTTCAAGTGACGTCATTTAATGACGTGATCGCATCGAGCGCTGACGGAACGAGGCGTCCTTATTGCCAGGAGCTGTAAACGGCTCGAGAAAAAGACTCCTCCGAGTGCATTCTAGCCTATTCGCCTGCATCCAACATGAAACTGCCTGATAGAGCTCATCCCCTTTCCCACAGGGGCTGGGGTTTCTTTTTGGATTCAAAGTCAATTGGTGGCCTCTGATGACGGAAGAATCTCATGCTCCATCTCTTTATTAATGACCCCAAATTTGGCGGTTCAAAAAACCTGCGAAATGCCTCATTTGAATGCTATTCGACTGAATTCCTATATCGAGACGATTCGAGAATATTGAGATAGACCCACCCCAGGCCTAACGTTACCCGTTTGAAATGACGTGGTGCAAGAAACACGAGGTTGGCCATCTCAGGCCTAACGTTACAAGTCCTCGCCAACACCGTTCGCGGTTCTCGATACGCATTACAATTTAGGTCCACTTGTTTCTGAAGAAGTTTAATTTACGCCCTAGCAGTTTACGATTCTATTTCCTTACGTTTTAATTCAGGTCATTCTGATTTTACTATAATTACATCCTGTCGGAAGTTGTTTAGAATATTGATGCCCCATAGGAAGAGTAGGTGTCTCCAGGTGCCAGCTGGCCGGAAGGGTCTTATCAGGCGATACGCCTACCACAGACCTACTTGACTTGCAAGTCAAGGATTGAGATACTTTCAGCTTGAAGAGATAGGGCTGGATCTTGTGCGAACACAATATCTCATATGCCATGCAATGTCCGTGGAATTTACATTAGCCATAAATGAAAGGAAGTGATGACTAGTGAAGACACTTCAGTTAGAGATTATTTCCAACGTAATGCTGAGAGGAATAATAAAAAAATGGATGTTTTTTACACCATGTCAAATCACCATGTGGCTAGGTGGCGTTTCAAAATTCGGATCCCCTGGGGTACCTTATTTAGTGCAGATTTGGTCGATTCACTATAACTTACCTCCCAAAGGAGTAACTTTTTTTTTTTTTTTTTTGGGGGGGGGGGGGGGGGGGGGGG